GACCGTGAGAACATTTCTCGTATTCTTCTACCAACATACACTGAGAAAAGGTATCGCTCTTACGACTCTCTTATGTGAGCGCCATGAATGATAGCACATAATGACACACTCGGGATAAAAATAACGGTGAGATAGCAGAGAAAGTACCTCACACAAGAATTTATTCTCTTTATATATGTATTGTATCATCCATATTCCATATTTATTTAAAGCACGCTTTTATAACATGTTGTGTTTAATTAAAGTTAAGTAATACTTAATTATATACTTAATTATTTAAACGTTTAGTATTATTTAAATTAAATTCACTAAACAATTAAAACGCGCATCTCCTTATTTAGACATAATAAAATACGCTTTCAATACATCAATACATTAAGTGCAGATCAGCACTGAGTATTAGAAAATCAATGATCTGTATTAAATAAATTAGCGATAAGAATAAAATATACATGGAATATTCCTTAAACATAGAATATGCTGACAATAATTTTACGTCATAATTGATAGATAAATCAAACCGCAATAATGTTAAAATATATAATGTGAAAGATGTTATCGCCTGAAATTTTTAGAACATTTTTCGTGGCTCATTTACATTTGAAATATTAATTATCGACATTGTGCCACTGATAAGTTTAATAAAATATGTACGTAGAACAAGCGGCAAAATAAGTTTTATTATTTTATCATTAATTTCTCATCAGAATTCTCATTATTTCTCAGGCTGATACTAGTAATAAGATGCAAAACACAGGAATAATTTTATCGTTACATTACAAGACTGGGCAGAGATTAACTCTTGTAAATTACATTTCTTATCTCATAAATCTGCATTCAATGTATCATTCAATGTATCATTGTCACCGATCGGTTATTTCCACATACGGATGATTACGAACGCGACACCCACGCGCTCGCAGGCATTCCAAGCTTTCTTACGTTGAACTCACCCACGACAGTAACCTACACGCGACGTGCTACTTCGCCGAGGATCATGCATAAGCATTCACCGAATTACATCGGCATCCAATCAGAACTACTCCGTAGCGGATGCGGCCAACTCAAACCCCGACCCTGATCGATCCCTCTCTCGCAAGTTTCTCCAAGACTGTCAACTCCCGTCGAAACTTCAGGCAACTTCGAACCGGAGTCGCGAACGGATTCCTCTCTGCTAAGGCTCTTTCAACAGGTACTTCTCGCCTTTTTGCGTGCAAGATCATCTCACGGATTACGATGGAATTGTGCCACGACGACATTCACGACGCAAAACGCCGTTGAATTGATTCGCCGCATCGTGCGCGCGCGTTGTAGTAAAACTGATTGAAATATCTCGATATCTCTGTCAAAGGAGAGGTCTTTATCTACAATACGCTCGATAGTAAATCGATAGAGCAAATCGCGATAATGTGAAAACGTGTAATGTAAAAGTTGCATACATTATCATCAGAAATTTTTAGGAAATTTTTCACGGCTTGTTTACTGTATGAAATATTAATTATCGCCTTAATTGCGCCACTGATAAGTTTAATAAAATATTATTATATTATTATATATGCACGTAGGACAGGCGGCGAAATAAGTTATATTATTTAATCATGAATTTCTCATCAGAATTCTTATTATTTCTCAGGCTGATAGTAATAAGAGATGCAAATGAGAAAAGTAATAAATATATTTGCAAGAAGGAGTCGGATCTATCAGCCAGCATACAAAATTACAAAGTTTCTTGCGAAGTCAGGCCGAAATTTCGCAGCACCGCACGCGTTAACGTCCGTAGATGAGTTATTACGGTGAATAACATTATAGCGAGTTCGCCGAGTATTATTTCCATACGTAAGTACGTATCTCGTATCTCTCGCGCTTCGTATACCGTAAGATATAATGATATTATTACGGGCTCCCCCTAAGAGAGGGGAGGATATACGAATTAAAGTCGAACACGCAACGGAGCCATTCAAGCGCGTTTCGTCGACGCGAGAACAATCGTGCGCGATTCTGCGTTTTTATAACAATAGAATTACGCCCACGCATGCGTATACCTTCTGTGGTACATCGCGTACGTACATATATACGCGGGATGGAGAAGAACGTAGAAATTTCTAAATTATTGTTTGACATTCTAATGGGATGTACGCGGAGGTATTTAATTAAATGGACATTATAATGAAGAGAGTAGGAGCGCGAGTTTGTTGACAGTCAGCTGTTCGCTTCGTTGCTGACCGTGTCGTGTCACTTTAACGTTTTGCACTGGAAAGAGAGTATATACGTCCGTTTGCATTACACTTCGCGCTAATGCCTCCGATGTATGTACCTACCCCTCCCCTACACATCTCTATTCATAGCGACGCTTAACACGCGGCCTCCCCCCTTCCCCCGCATACACATTGTACGTACATAAAACATCGCGCCTGGAATTAATGTATCGAAACGCGGAAAATCGTCGTGTTTTCGGTGTCCATGGTGCGATGCAGTCGAGATAATGACATTGATTAGCTTTTAGGTCTAATCATTCTCAATAATCGCGCACAGAAATGGCGAATGTATAACGTAAATTAAACGCGTATGAGAAATGACAGTTATATAAACAAATGAAAGTTTTTGAATAGTTTCGAAAATTTGATAGTTTAATTTTTCACGCGGGCGGATCGTGAAAAGTAATAAATATGCCCCGGAGAATTCACGCGTATCAGCGATTGCGCGTGTATCGGCACAAAATCGCGACGATGGAGCAAGAATTTATGTATATTCGCGATTCCGGATTAGAGAGTTGTGTACGTATACACTTAGGTATATGTACACGCGCTTAATGTGAGAGCGCGAGCGCAAACATTATGCAGCTTTATGTAAATTTCCACGAGACAAACTTGTCTTTAACGAAATAAAACAGCTCTTGGAAGTAAATAAATTCTAATTCTCTCACATTCCGCATTCAAAACGTGCGCTTAAAAGCATTGGAAAATCTAAAACTGTATTTTTTTTCTTCTTACACAGTTATGTTTTTGTTAATTTATATAGATATTCTTTAATGATCGCTATATATAAAATCTTTCTATGCCTCCTCTTCTTTTTTACAAATATTAAATACGTTTGATATCTCTTGAAAGAGATACGAAATATGTTAAGAACCTAAAAAAATGGGCTTTATGTAATTTAATTATATATAAGATCATATATAATAACATTAAATAATATATATAATTTGATATGATCATGTCGCGTCAAATTTTAGATTTAATTATATATGATTTTATGTAATTACACAAGTCCATTTTTTTTTTTCGGGAATATAAATAATCACGTAAGACAGTTTACTTTTTTTTTTTAATTTCGCTTCTATCCGTCCATTTTAGTGCATCTGATCTTAAACAGACAGCGTATTCAGTCAGTTTGAGAGCGCATGGTCGATAAGTACAATTCGTAAATATCAGGTATATCGCTTGCGTTTAAAGGCTCCCGGCAGCAATTACTATGCTGTGTCGAGGTACGATCGACCCATGCATTTCCGCTGGATTAATTGCCCCTAAACGGGGCCAGGCTAGGGGCGATAGAGATGGCTTGCGGGGTGAGCGAGCTTCGGGGCGCGATTAAATCACGCTCGTTAAATCGAAGCGGACGGCGCCGGTGCCGCAAAAATTGCTCGTTTATTCCGGCCGACTCTAAAATCGGCACTATATGACGGGGGACAAGAGATGAAAAATTAATGAGCCCACTGGCTGCCACAGTCGGTGCAGCAAAAAGAACATAAAAGTGGCGGATGTCCGCGAACGATGACGATTCTTCGCGAATTCGATGCATCGGACCTTTTTCCTTGCTCTTTTTACGCGTCTGACCGCGACGAAATTAAACGCGGCGAGTCTGTCATTCGATCTGAATAAGGAAATTAAATCCGGCGCGAGAAATTCTCCATCGACAGTCACCTTCGATATTCAACGCGTCTGTGACATCTGTATTAAAATTAACCCACGTATCGCGGCTCATAAAAATTTCCCGCGAGTTCTGCAACGTCCCGATGACATTAATTATAAATTCTGCGACATAAACCTTCTCCCCTCTTGCATAATAAATAATTTCGAATTTCAATTCCTCCCTCTCTCTCTCTTCCTCCTTCTTTCTCTCTTTGGTCATATCTAGAAATATTTAATTTAAAGCCGAACGCTCGGAATTTCGTTTTATCCCAAGGAACCCTTCCATTCATTTTCCGGAAAATTTATATTTTTTTGTTCCACCGATGAGGGAACAAGTGAATAACTTTCGACTCGATTCCCGATGAAGTGGCGAGCTCGATAACAAATTGGCGGACTTCATCGCGGGATTCGCCCGATAGGAAATTTTTAATGAAAGTTACTAGGAAGAATACGAAAGTTACGGAGGAGCCAACGAAGCGAGAAGAGAGTCCCCGGTAATCTCTGACATCTTGTTACAGCTTGGTGTAAGAAAAGCGGAGGAGAGAGACTGGCGAACGGCCGCGGCGCGACCTTCTCTCGTTCAATTAAAGCGTCAGCGTCCGCGGAAAACTTTTATATGAATGGTTTTCATTACGTCGCGGACTTATTAAGGGCGTCTTCGCTCGGAGCATTAATATCCTCGTCGCAACGAGTTTTGTTATCAAGCTCGACCATTCAAGCCGCGGTGCACCGGTGGAGCATCGGAATATACGCACACACACATACAAAAACACGGTACTATTTTAACATCGGCGTGATTTGAAATATACACAATTCTCGAGATTTTTTTTATTTTTATTTCATTTTTTTTTTTT